TTAATAAACACTGGGTGGAACCTATGAATCTACAGTTTGGGTAACCTTGGCAATCAAGCCTGGTGGGAAATCCGGCGTAGTTACTTCCTGCTCTCAGGCCAGGTTGTTCCTAACTAGAAGGCAATCGTGGCTGAAGTAAGCCCGTGTTTAAACTTCAATTCAGCCATCATTTATGAGGTCTCATAACCTTTTATGATTTATTTGCTGAGATAGGGTCAATTTCTAAATATAAGGAAAACTGGATTATTAGTCCAAAGAAGGAAATGAATGGAGGGAAGTTAGAAAAGATGCAAATCTACAAAAAAACCTCTTAAAACGCTAAAGCGCCAAGATGTCACTTTGAAGACTCGGGTTGGCCTGACCCAACCCGTGGTGTCTTCGACTGCCTCGTGTGCATGTGGAAACTCGCCAGTGATTGAAGGGGCGATAGCTTTGAATTGTGGTCTTGCACAGAATGTCCACGGTGTCATGGACTGCCTGAAGGACAAACAAATCCGTCTTGGAATCCAGACGGTGAGCATCTGTCTCACTTCCCTGGGACGTGTGCTCAGGAGGGATTTATCCTAGAGGGGACGCTATGCTTGTCACGTGTTGTATCAGAGGACACAGAGGAGGGCTTTCAGTGAGATGGGTTGACCCCGGGGCTGCAACAAGGGCTCACACACAGAAAAGGTTGTGAGACCGCGGCAGGACTGGGCAGTGTTTGCTCTGTTGTCCACAGGGGTGCTATGAGCTGGAACCCGACCCCACCTAACAACAGACGGACACATTGTGCTCAACGATGGGCGCGTCATGCCTGACCTTTCAGATGGGCTCCGTTTCTGCCAGTGGTGAGGAAGAGCTTGAACCCCGCTGCATCGGGGGTGTTGGTGAGGCACGTCTTGCTGTCATAACTGAGAGTTAATCTTGCTGAGGCGTTGACCACTACCTGCCAAGGGAAAATCAGTGCTCAGTTCTCAGACTTTACAGCCTTCCTTCTCTACCTGTTGTGGGTGGCATGATGATACGCCCTACCTTATAGTGTTGTGGGTGGCATGATGATGCGCCCTACCTTATAGATAGCTAAGTTATCACCCCTTGTCGTGTTTTTCTTTTATTTATTCACTTACTCCTTCAAGACCATTTATAAAATTCCTACAATCTAGTCACCTCTCAGGATTTATTTAACCCGATGCGTCTGTTCCACACAGGTACAAACTGTCTTTCTAGGGCCACATAGTTGAGAGCAACAAAGGCTATTTGCTTCTCTGGGGGAAAGACCTTTTTTTCTAGAAGGAGGTCTTCGTACGTTGTTCCTTCTGCCATATCTTGTATGACTCCCTGTGACAATGCCTTTCAAGGCAAATGCAACATCAGTCACTTTTCCCTCTTGCTCTAGTACCTATCTCAGCTTCCTCTGGAACTTAACGTACCTGGTTTCTCTAATGTCATTGTAACTTTCTGCCTTGTATTGCAGTTCTCTTAGCCTGGTTAAAATTCCTTCCAAATTCTTCGAGGGCATAAAAGAAACCTAATTTTATCTGTATGCATCCTGTCCTGGGCCTTGTAGATAAAGCAAGGACTTTTTTATTACAATGAGAATTGATAATAACTAGGACCCTTTTTCCCGGGAATGTTTTTCTATTTAAATTCAGTATACTGTCCAAGAAGTTCAGTACTAGCATAATAGTTTGTTTTTTTAACATCCAAGGTCCTGAATACCGACGTTAGTTACACCAGAGCTTAATGAGGGCAGGAGTTCAGTCTTTTTTTTTTTCCATTTTCATATTTCCACAGCCCAGTACAATGCCTGGCACATGACAGACCTCAGTAAGCACCTTCTGGTTAATGAATAGTGGAAACTTTACAAAGTGCAGCGATTAGAAGATAGCAGTAAATGGCCTCTGGCTCCTCCCTCCCTCCCCTTCCTCCTTGCTCTTCCAGCACCTGCTCCCTCTCAACCTCTTTTCTAGCCATCGTCTCCTGCCACCCGTGTCCTTGACCCTCTCCCAGTCTCAGGCGCATGTTCTGTTTGACAGCCATCCAAACGCCCCTCTTTGCCCTCATTAATTTGTGCTGAAGCCACCCCGACTACCATGGACTTTTATTTGCCTTTGTATTTTCACTTCCTTTTTCTGAAATAACTCCTCCCCTTTTCTCTGCCAGGAAAATTTCTATCGCTGAAGATGGTTTAAATGCCCCTTCTGGAAAACCTAGCCTTAGTCCCACCCAGGCAGAATTAGCGGCTATGAGCATTTGTGACACAGCACCAGTACAGAAGCGATCAGTTCTGTTGACATTATTGGTCGTCTATATGTACGTATGCACGTATGACGACGCCACTGGAATGATGTCAAGGCACCTGCTCTCGTGTGGGCGCATGCTCATTGGGCAATTACCCATGTGACTGTGATGATGGCTACTTCGCAAGGTTGCGATGACGGCAGCTGACGGATTCCTGAACAGCAAAGAAAAATGATAATAACCAGAGCCACGCCTCTGGTAGACCGAACACCACAATGCTGGCTTTTGAGGCATGAAAACAGTAACGCGACCGAGTGCTTCGGATTCAGAGAAAGGAGGAGTTTCGTGTCAGCAACAGGGACATGAGAAAGAGTTTATTAAAGCAACCCCTCCCCCTTCTCACCTATCACCTGCTCAAGACCTCACCGCAGCAATCCTCTGCCTCTCCTACACCCAAACTTCCCTCCCCTGGATAATCCCCAAGCTGGCACTTCTCCCACCTTCAAGAAGTCAGAGAGACTTCGGATTCCACGTCGCTCCTCCAGCGACAGTCCCAAGTCTCTGCAGTCTTTCACGGTGAAACTCCGGGGAAGAGCTGTCCATGTGCCCGACGCCACATCCCCTCTGCAGTTCCCAGCCAGCTTTCCCCTCTTGCGGCTTCATTGCTGATACTCGTCAAAGTCGCCAATGACCTTCTTATTGCAAAACTATCCGCCATGTCTCGGCTTTCAGCTTGTATTTGGCCCATCAAAAACATTTGACGCGAGGGACCATACCCTCCCTGTTGGATCATTTTTTCACTTGACTTCTGGGACATCAATCCCTGTGGTTCGCTCCCATTTCGCTGGCTGTTTCTCATAAGTGCCCTTCGGGGGCGCCTTGTCTTCACTTGGGCCTCTGAATATTGGCGTGGCCCAGGGTTCAGTCCTGGGATAGGTTCTCTATAGACCTTCATTCGCTTGGTGATCTAGCAGATTGAACGATCACCTATATGCTAATGATTCCTAGGCTTTTATAGCTTACTAACCTCAACATATCAGCCTCTAGTAGACATCCAATTCACATGTTCAAAATTGACCTACTTTCCCTCCAAAACCGTCGCACCCGTGCTGTGGTTGTTCGTGGTGAGGTGTAATGGAGTCAGTCCCGACCACAGCAACCGTGTGCACAACAGCAGGAGACACTGCCTGCTCCAGTCTCAGCCTCCCGATCGTCCCTGTTTCAGTTGATGCCAATTTGATTCTTTTAATTGCTCAGTCAAAAACCTAAAGTCATTCTTGGTTATCTCAGACTCCACAAAGAAGCGATCAGGAAATCCTATCCGTTTCACTGGCAAACTGATACCTAGCAGCTGATCAGCTACTTACAGTTATCACACCGATCCACCAATGTATCTTACCTGAGTTACTGAAATCGCCTTTCAGCCAGTCTCTCGGCTCTACCCTTGTCCTGACGGCTCCTATCGACTTGGAGCCGCGGTGGTGGTGTCTTCCCGCGTTAAGCAGACCAGTTGCCCTGATGCTCAAAACCTCCAAAGGCTCCTTCACTCACTTGGGAATCACTGCCCAAGTCTTTACAAAGCCTGACAAGACCCTGCACCACTAGGCGCTCCCTTACATCTCTGATCTCATCTCCTACGAGGCTCCCCCTCATTCACTCTCCTCCAACTGCACTGCTTCCATGCCTTTTCCTTGATAAACCAGGCCCACTTCCATCCCTGGGCTCTGCACTGGCAGCTTCCTTTTATGGGAACACTTTAAAACTCTTCCCCACTTATCTGCATGGCTTGTTTCTTCATTGTCTTTAAGTGTCAGGGTAAGGGGGTCTCCGACACGCGATTGGGTCCTCAGGAGCGGCTTTGCGAAAATATTAAAGACAGACAGACAGACAGACAGCTGGGCACAGGGGCTCCTTGTCCCATGTCAGGACTGAGAGAGCAAATGTATTTTCTAATGGGGATATGTAAAGGGGCTTACAGATCTTTCATAAGGCATGCACCTCATATAGCTAACATCAGACACAATCAATAGGTAATATCATAAGCAGGTAACATAATAAACAAGCGATAAGATGAGTCAGAGTCTCGACCTAATTCTAGTTGACCTGGAACTCCCCTGAGCCTTCCCCAGAGGGAGTAATCTCGGATCCGTATCAAGAGATGTCAAAACAGAGCTTGCTACATTTTGCGCTGGATTGGGTATAGACCCTGATTGCTTTTATCTACAGATAACCTTTAGGCATTGTGAAGTAGCCAGATGCAGAAATGATTCATCTTATATGGTACCTCTTTCATGGGGTGGGGGTACTGGGGGGACGGCGTCCAGTCATGAGAATGCATATTAAGATGCATGTATAGCTCATCACCATGAGAGTCTCCCCACCAGAGTCCACTTTCCAGACCCATGGTCATGAGCATGGATGACTTGGCTGCGTTACATTCTCATCCCGTCCCTCAGTTTATCACATTTAAGTCTTTGCTAAAATGTCATTTCAACAAAGACTACACTTCAACAACTCTATTTAAAACTGTCACCGTCCAAACTCTACCCTAGCTCCGATCCTCTGTATCCTACTACCCTTAGGTTTCTTCCCCGTAGCACTTGTCGTCGTCAACACACTCTACACTCTACCTAGTTTGATCATTTAATAGCTTCCTTTCCCTACGGAAAGAACGTTTCACAAAAGCAAGGATTTTTTTATTTTTCACTTTTTATTATGATTTAACATTTTAGAGTGAACTGGTTTTCCATTCAACACTTCATTTGATGGCAGTCGCCGGATGTACCAGCCTCTGCCCACCTCTGCCCTCCCTGTGGTTGACCATTCCCGTCCCTTCCTGCTTTCAAGTTTTTGTCCACAGGCAAATGCTGCCCTTTTGGTTTTGTGCGGTTGATGGTTCTAAGGAGTGAGTACCGCTCAGATGTGGTTCTCTCCCTCTCTGCTAGTCTATTGGTTGGTTGAGAGCGCAGTCAGAGGAGGGAGTTCAGTTCCCGGAGTGAAGAGTCGCTAAGGGCCAGCGTCTTGGGATTCCATCAGACTCCATCAGGCCAGTAAGTCTGGTCTATTTTATGATTTTGGGATTTGTTCCACTTTGTTCTCCTACCCTACCCAGGACTCTCTTTGGTGATCGCTTTCAGAGTAACTAGCAGTGGCAGCTGGGCACCATCTAGTTCTTCTGGGAAAAGCAAGGATTTTGTTTCTCTTGCTTACACATGATCTCTAGTGCCGAAAACAGTATCTGACACAGTGGATGCTCCATTCATACTAGTTGGATGAATGAAGGATAAAGAAAGTGGCATTTGTGGTTGACTATGAAAGAAAAGAATTATTAGATAAGAGGTGAAGGTGAGAAGTCATTCAAGGTAGACAAACAAATGGTTATAGAGAAGGGAAGTGTGTAGAGAACAGTATAGTCTAATTTGACTGCAGGACCCATCAATGACAAATCAGGGACAGATACTTTATTTCTTGAGGGTCTAATCCATTTTCTGGTCAATATGTTTCAGAGCTGCAGTCGGTGTGACCAAGCAGAGGCTAGACTTACTCGGGACTAAATTGCTAAAGAGATTATAACAAAGGCAATGCTGACAAGTGACAAATAACCGGAGTAGAAAAGCTCCGCTTATTCTACACAAATGGTTTCTTTTGTACTTCAAAAGGCTAAGAATCTGAATAACTGTATAGATGTCATTTTCTATTAAGTTTGTTGGCTGGCTTTATTAGTATTACGTGAGTGTATTTCCTAGAATGTGTTTTTAATCAAGATATATGAAAGGGGTCACCTCGATGTCTTCCACCTGGTATGGTTAGATTTACCTCTCGGTATGTTTTCACTACTCCTGGAATGTCATAAAAGATTGTTGCTGTTCCCGGGCTCCTGGCCACTCCTACCCCGGTGACACTGTCTGTCTGGAGGACACTGTCGGAAGAAATCATCCACGTTCCAGGTTCTCCTAGGGAAGCACAGGAGAAAATGCTTGCTGAAATCTTTGGTATAGCTTGTTGGTCATTCTGACCTTACACAAATTAGTAGACCATTCAGGCATCTAGAGATCTCTTTCTAGGAGAACAGTGTCCAGCTGTAAGGATACATTTGTTTTCTGAACACCAGGTTCCCAGAGGATATCATGCCAGCAACATAAGACAGACTACTACAGCATTGGTCATTGGGGGAATGCAAACCCAAACCACAGTGAGATAGCGCTTCACAAAGGCAAGGATGCCTAGTATTAAAAAAAAAAAAAAAAAAGGAGGGTGTTAGCCAGGATGTGGAGAAACTGGACCCCTTGTGTATCATTGATAGAAATATAAATTAGACCAACAAACAGGCCTTGAACTAACTACAAGCTTTTCTTTCTTGTTTTGTTTGTCATTGGTTTGTTGTTGTATATTGTTGCTTGGTTTTGCGCATGCTATTATCTCCGCAGGTCCGTCTAAATAAGATAGGCTGGATGAACAATCTGGA